TTGGAGAGGTGGTGAGAGAAGGAGGGGAGAGGAGCAGTAGAGAGGGAGAGAGACGCTGAAGAGAGAGAGAGGCGTTGGTTTGATTAGGGATTGCTTTGGAAACAATATATATATATATGTGGTAATTTTACACAATTCGCGACAAAACATTTTGGTTGCCAATTCATTTTATAAATCATTCCAAAATTTGAAAAGTCTCCTTCCAAATATTTTAGTTCTTTGTGACTAAAAATTTATTTCCTCGCTGAAAATAACTTTTTTGGTGATCAAACTTTTGGTCCCTTTTGGCTAAAATTTCAAGGTAGGGATATCCTACTGCTCTCTATGGGTTTTGTCTTTAAATTTTGGTATTTTGAGATGTTGGGCTTGGTTTGGTAATTTTGTGAAAGTTTGGGGCTTTTGTGTAATTTTACAAAAGTTGGGGGAGGGTTGTTACACAATTCTATAGTTATAATAAGAAAATCTGGAAATCTGAAAATTCTGAAAATCTGAAATCTGGAAATCTGGAAATGTGAAATATGGAAATCTGGAAATTCTGAAAATTCTATGACAAATTCTAAGTTTTGACATTTTCCACATTTTCTAGATTTGCAGATTTGGACAAATTCTATGACAGATTTTACATTCTATGAAAATCAGATTTCCAAAATTCAATAGGTCTGCAAATTCTGGAAATCTGAAATCTGGAAATCTGGAAAATGTGGAAATCTGAAAATTCTGAAAATTCTATGACAAATTCTATAGTTATAATAAGAAAATCTGGTGCTCGTCAAATAATTTGGTTTTTGTCCAAATCTAGAAATCACCTTGGTCTGTATCTGCAAATCTGAAAATCTGGAAATCACTCTGAAATTTGGAAATCTGAAAAATGTGGAAATCTGCAAAATTCTGAAAATTCTATGACATTCAGTTATGTTTTTGGTTTTTGTTTTTGTTCAATGTGCTGGGTCTAAAAAATGTGAAGGTTTGTTCTGTTATGAATTTGCAGCTGTGTGGTGGTCTTTAGCAAGTTCTGTTTCTGGTATTGAGCCAGGAGTTGAGTTTGGCTGTGGTGCAACCCTCCATATGGTGTGATGATTGTATATCAATAGTATGTGGGTCTCAGAAGGTGCAAGCCTCGGACATTACCTGTGGGCCAGGGCATGGAATCAGTTTTGGAAGCTTAGGTTCTGGGAAATCAGTAGGTCATGTATCAGATGTGGTGGTGAATGGAGTCCGGATCAAGACCTGGCAGTCCATTCTTGTGGTTCTGCTGTTGGGTGTTAAGCTGCTTGGCTGCTATGCTGCTGGGTTGTTTGGTGCTTGATTTAGATTCTTCTGCTGGTATGCTGGTGCTAGAGTTAGCTTGCCCCTCTATTGTTTGCTTTGCATAGTTTGTGGTTTACCATGCTGCTGGTCTGAGGCCTGCTCTCAGTATTGGATTGGTTTTGTTCAGTATTGGATTGGTTTTGTTCAGTTCTGTATTTCTGATATAGCGATAACCAAGGTTTCTTTATGGCAGTTGAAGTTTTATGGTTTTATGGCCATCAATCACATAATGGGGCCAAGTCATGTACCTACTAAATGTTTTACTGATATGTATTGAGTATGATGCATGATATAAAACTGGTTCTAGAAAAACGAAAGGAAATGCTTTATTCAAATTTTCTCCGTCATTCCTGAGATCAGATGGAGTATGAGTAACTATGGCAATTTTCAGTGGCTCTGATAAATTATGCTGCTGAGAGAACACAGAAAAATTCATATCCTCTATAATTTTAAAATATTGCATTTTTTAATTTGATCAAAATCTCAAGAGCTGTGATGTAGCAAACTTGATATTGTTAAAATGAATGAGCACTTTGCTATGTCCAAAAACCTTGAGAAAACAATCTTGCATGATTACCAAGTGTGGAATTATGTTACATATCCTGATTCATTTTAGAATGAAAACGAAAGGTGTTTTCATATTCATCACTAGATTAGCTATGTGCTTCCATTGCCTATTAAAATGATTATTTATTTCTAATTTTTGCAGGTATTCTCATCTGATCCAGCTTACAATACCGGAGATCTGCAACTACTTTATAAAAGCACTTACTAGACCTAACCCAGATAACCGCGGCTGTAGGCAGCTGTTCTTAAATTCTCGATTCTAACTAAATGCAATGTACAGAAAGCTCTAGATCTCTCTGTTGTTGAGCTAGTGAAGGATCTAATTGGTTGATTGTAGAGGGACCACCGATCATTGTCTTCTGATGCCAGAGTTCTGTTGTTTGTAAACACTGTAAGTTTCTCCTGTAGCGTCATTGTCCCAGATTACTGCTGGCTATGACTGTCAATGATGTTACTTTGATAGATTTAGATGGTTATATTGACTATAAATGTAATCTCCTGTGGGTTCAAAATTGATGCCGTTAGCTGATGGGCCATGGTTGTTTTCCATTAGCACCTGTTTTTCAAGGTTTATGGTCTAAAAAAGGTGAGGGATCTTATGTTCACAAATTCAACTGTCTCTGCATACTTGTCCCTGTCTCACACTCTCAGTTGTAAGTACAATACAGTGAATCTCAAGAAAAGATTCTTGAAACACGATCAATTGACTGGCTCAGGATCTTGTTTTTTTTTTATCTTTATGCTATTGTCCCAAAATGCTCAAGTCAATGAATCATGTGAGAAATATGTGGTGTAGGAATCTCATGATTCAACGGCTAGGAATAATAGAAATATAATTCTATTGAGATAGGGAGATAGAGGGGGGAATTTAGGACATCGGATCTTGTATGGATAATTGAATGTGCATTGGGACAAAAGAATTTAGTGACAGATTTTAGAATTTTATTTTTTGAATAGAAGCCTTAGGGTCTATAACAAAAAATGAAAAAAAATAAAAGAAATAAAGAAAAAGAAAGAAGTGACCTGTGAAGGATAAATAAAGATGCAAAAGTATTTGCAACAAGTGTGAAAAAGGAATGAGTCGGGTTGCTTAAACTAGCTCGTATGTGCCCAGTTAGAGAGTTTGAGTCATAGATGACCTTGTGATATTCTCCACATCGTCTTATATTCTCCACATCATTGGCATTTTAAAATTTCACTGGGATAGCCCGAATGAAATTTCTTTCTCAGAGTTGATTAGAATGCTCTTGCTCCTTTTTGGCCTCATTTTGTAATTTTCTAACATTAGTTATGGTTTGAATTTGTATAGGAAGATGCTAAGTTGCTGATTTTATTTTCTTGTTCTTGGTATTGCAACACTGTTAGGGCACAGAGGAAGTGTGAAATCCATCTGTTCTTATCCAACAAACCCTGGTAAGTTGCACTTGTTATTTTCTTGTTCTTGGTATCCTTCTGAGTTTGTTTTTTACTGGTCTGTATGTAGTAGCAGAGGTGAATTTGTTAATTGCAAAGGTCATGACACAGGTGTGTAGTTGTTTATTCTAGTGGATGATTATAAAGATAGCATGCAATGTGGATGGTATTTACGGAAGTGTGTCGTATGTCCATTGCCCTGTGATAGGGAGGTGCAAGGTGGATATGCTATAATTTTTTCTTCAAGTATGACAATATGAGATTGAAATATGCATCAGACTGGGGCTTGCTGCCACTAAATCCCAATAAGTCGAACAATTTGTTTCTTTTGAAAACTGCTATAACCAAGAGTGTGCTACCAATCCATTGTTTATTCATGAGTTTCTTTTGAAAACTACAATTTGTTTCTTTTGCTGCCACCTTATTTTCTTTTATTCATCAGTTTATCAATTTATTTTTCAGTTTATTCATGTGATGTATATTTATCAGGTTATTCATGTGATGTATTTTTATTAGTTTATTCATGTGACACAAATTTAATCCAGAACACAAAACACTGTTCCAGCATCAGGCATCAGGCAGATTGGAAAATGGTTCCTGGATTAAAGACTGGTCGGCTTCGGAAAAAGACACTCACGCAGCCAAAAACAGACTCGCCAGCTGCTATTCCTTTAGGATCACCTGTTGCTCCATCTCGTGTTCTCCCCGTCCCATCAAATGTGGGACCATCTCATAATGCCACTAGCCAACCAATGGTTGATTCTGATGAGACACAAGCCCCATCTGAAACGCAGCCGAGTGGCGTAGGTAAGATTAAAGTGTATCAAATGTGTCAATTATCACTTGCCATTGCCATTGTTTTTTTGTACCCAATTTGTAGCCAATTTTCGTGTTGTTATTTTGTTAACAGGGACTTCGAAGCCCCTACGTGTACGCAGACCGACACGTGGCAAAGGCATACAAAAAATAATTCGAGCCAAGAAAGGGGGAAAATGTTATGTTCACATCGATCGTGGGTTGAATACAATGACTGGCAAGTATGCCACTCTAGCAACTAACGAGTTAGGAATTCAAATTAGAACCTTGTGCCCTTTGAAAGATGTGAAGTCATGGCTGGATCTTGATGAGACTACAAAAGCTGCCGTCATCCAAGGAGTTCTTGTAACTAATATTACTTGTCCACAAGATGTAATTGTATTATGTATGATAATAAGAAAGACTATTATTTAATGATTACAATTTCAATTTGTTATGCTTGTAGGACAAGTTTCAAATTGGAAACGATTTCCACAATGACTTACAAGCACAAGAGATTGTGAATAAGAAGGCCTATGGGTTGTACAAAGATTGGAGGTACACCTTAAAGCAAGAGTTCGAATTGCTAGAGGGACTTCTACGTGATGAGATCTATGCTCATCCGCCCGTAGGGGTGAGTTTAGATAATTGGAAGCATTTGATCGATGTGGCATGGCAAGATGCATCTCACCAGGTAAAATAATAGACTAGATAGAGTACATACATCTATGTGAAAATGTGATATGCCTTAGTATTTACCAAAAAATTGTTTATCTGTTTGTCTTATTTTTAGAAACGGTCAAAAGCTGGCAAGAGTAATAGGAGTCAATTGCCGTACAATCATACCAATGGGTCTCGCTCATTTCCTATCGCAATGGCTACTATGGTGAGTTTGATGTTTTTTAAAACTTTATCCCCTTTTTGTTTTTCCAGCACATAAATCTTTGTACCCATGCTTTCTAACCAATCACGACTCATACTTGTTTCGATTCTCTACAATTTTCTTATTTTCAAATACATTCATATATATATATATATATATATATATGTTGAACTCTGTTACTAAACATCTACTATTTGCAAAAAAACTGTGTGGAAAGAATCTGTTAATGATACCCTTGCCAGATGTTTGCATTCGAAATCTGTCCAAGGACTACACTCTGTTTTTTATTCAAAATCTGTCTCGCAAAATCTGACTGGGAAAATCTGTTTCAATTCTGTTTGACAAAATCTGTTTGACAAAATCTGTTTGAATAAATATGACGTACAATTTGTTTGCAAAAATCTGTTTAAACTAATCTGAAAAAGTCCGTTTGTAAAAATTTGTTTCAATTGTGTTTGGAAAATTCTGTTAGTGATACTCTGATTGGTCTGTTTCAATCCGTTTGTAAAAATCTGTTTCAATTCTGTTTCAATAGATTTTTAGAAAGTCAACACATGTTAGAATACACATAATCTGAAGTGGTTATAAGTGGCTATTTACGAAAATCTGTTTGCAAAAATCTGTTGGACAGAATCTGTTTGACAAAATCTGAAAAATGTGTTCGCAGAAATCTGTTGGAACATCTGCATTAAGTCCTCTGCTGCTGTCTTGAATAGTATGGTGTTGAATAGTCTGGTTTGTTCTGCCTGTCTCTGATCTACTAGTGCTTATGCAATGTGCTATAGTTGGGTTGGTGTGCCTTGGTTGGTTGGTCATCTATGAATATTTTCTGGTGTGCATTGTCTGGTATGCTCTGAACTGGGTTGCTACAGCTGGGTTGCTGTGCCATGGTTGGTTAGTATGGCTGGTAAGACATCTTAGATGTATGGGGATTCTGTTGGTCATGTATGAATGCTTCCTGAGTTCCACTTCTACAGACTTTTGTGACATCTTGGTTGATCCAGCAGTGGTCATTTTGCAGCGGTCATTTTGAAAAAATCTGCAAAAGATCTGTCTGGAAAATATAATTCTGTTAATGATAATCTTCTTGAATTCGAACTCTGTATAAACTACAAATCTGTGTGCAACAAATTTCCAAATCTGTCTCCAAATCTATCCAGACGTTTGTTTACAAAGCTGTTAATGAAAATTTGTCTATACAAATCTATCTGCAAGGAAATGTGTCTAAACTACTAATCTATCTGCAAAAACTCTGTTATCATACAAATCTGTCTGCAACAAATCTATCTGCAAAAATCTGCTTAATCTGTTTAAACTACTAATCTGTTTGCAAAAGTCTGTAACAAATCTGTCTGCAAAAATCATTGATTTATACGTTGATGTGTTAACAAGTAGCAAAAAATGGAGAGTTGGATTTCCCAAAGTTCTCTGAGGACAGCCACACTTCAAAGAAAACGAATGATTGGATCCATTCGAAATGCCATGAGTTACATGTAAGTATGTGACAAGGAAATATATGTATTCAATATTTTCTTGTACTTAGTACCCAGTAATACATATATGTTGCCAAAGTATTTTTCGACTTATTTATTTGCAATGATAGCAAGAGATGGTCAATGTACAAGCGGCTGCCATCGAGTCGGGGACGCCATTGACATAGGAGGAGATTTCAATGCAAATGCTTGGACAGAAGAAAAGGTACTTGCTTGGATTTGGGAGTGGCCCACAACCCTCTACCATATTTGCATCACGAGCACACGATAAGGACATGGAGGCAATGCGAGCTGAGGTGGAGGCACTTCGTGAGGAGCGGCAAAAAGATCATGACGAGTTAATGAAAGAGCGAGAGGAGCGCATTCAATTATCCAATGAGATGTTGAAAGAGCGGGAGGAGGGACAAAAGGCAAAGGAGGAGACAAATGCAAAGGTCGAGCATCTTAATAACGTAGTTGCCAAACTGTCACAACTCTTGGGAATCTAAGTTGGGCATCCGACGTTTGCTTTTTGGTAAGAACAATTTCATTAATGTCACACTTACTTTGTTTAAATATGTTCGCTTTAAGAGTTGAAAATGTCATCAATTTGGGAGTTAGGGTTGAAAATGTCACAAACATAGTTGAAAAAAGGCGTTCGGGGGCCGAAAATGCAAAACAACCCCCAAGCCACTATTTTTTCATAACAGGAAGCTTCCCGGTGATAAATGTGGCATGTAGGGACAGACGGTATGTAAGTAGGACACATAAGTTGGGCGTTAGGGTTGATAATGTCATAAACTTAGTCGAAAAAAGGGGTTCGGAGGGCGAAAATGCAAAACTGCCCACGAGCCACTGTTTTGTCGTAATGGGAAGCTTCGCGGTGATAAATGTGACATGTAGGGACATACGGTACAAAAATAGGACACCTACGTTGTGAGTTAGAGTTGAAAATGTCATAAACTTGTTTCTTAATTGCCAACCCTGTAATCATGTTGTAATGCCATCTTATCCAACAACTTAAAACCTTATTTATTTATTTTTTGTGTGTGTGTTAATTGGTTCATTTATCTATTTATATTTGCCATGCTTGGTTTATTTATTAATTGGATTAAATCATAAATTAAGCACCTGAGATTCACTAGTCTTTATTAATAAATATTGAAACAACTTTCCATCATGTAAAAACAAAGGTATGGGCTTAGTTGTGGTCTGTGTACACATTGTAATTTTTTTTTTCTTTTTATGTGATGTTATTCATTGGTAGTAAAAATATTCTATAATTTTTGTTTATATAGACTCTGTATGTCTATGTTTATTCTGTATATATTTGCTTGAAGTTTAACTATAAGTATTTTCCAACATCAATAATGGGAACATAATAACTAATACTTGTATGCAACTTTACTTTTGGCCTTTTTTGGAGTATTCAAAGGAAGAAATGTGGGTGACATTATAGGGATACATATCAGTTGAGGTGTTAATAGAGTATTATTTTATTCTCTCTTTTTTTGTTAATTTGCTGCTGGGTGAGTTTTATATATTGATATATGTTCTACTTCTTAATTTTCTGAATTTCTTTAAGCCAACAAACCCGATTGAAGAAGCTATTTCTTTGTTTTCATATTGATATATGTAGTTCCCTTCACCCATGCACTGTGGTTTTCCTTGGTGGTTGGGACATGCCTTGAATCAATGCTGCAGGTGGCTTTGAAAGTACTGCTTTAGAGTCAGCTACTAACCTTGGGAGTTATTGATGTTATTATTAATAACAAACTAGGTGTTTACTTAATTAGATTGAACTTACTTAGCAGTATGCTTTATTAATCTTCTTTGATGTATTAATATCTGTTGTTGTGGTGTGAGCATCTGTAGAACATGTATATATATATATATATTGGTTTTTAACTTAATTGAGGGCGTAATGGTTTCATGTGAATGGTTGCATACAGCTCTAGCTAATATTGAAATTGTACTTGATAAAGAAATCTATTACCTACGGATTTGTGAGGGTGGTTTTCAGCTTGATATCTCAAAATATGGTGACTTCTCGATCGAGAATGAGGATATATATATTCTGACTTGTTTGTTTGATCATGACTTTGATTGCATATGCCATGTTTGGTCTTTGATTTTCTAGGCATTATAATATAACTGGGCCCATATGCCTTTTAACCAGGAAACTTTTGTATTTAACTTAACCATTTATTGCATAAGAGAAATATTGCTTCTTATGCAATGTGAAAGAGCTTATACTTGCATTATATTCTCATTCAAAGATTTATATATTGACCTGAGCTCTTGGATGAGAACTTATATGAAAATTATTTGGTTTTGCTGGGTTGTTTATTTTGCTTGATAATTTAAATTAGGGAAAAAGCTTATGGTTTATTTTTGTTTTAAAAACTCAATTTTATTTCCCTCTTTCCAGCTGGGAATCTGGGAAATTGAAATATTCAAAAGTTTCAAAAACTCATTTTACTCTTGGTTTCCATTTTGATATCTGGTAAAATGAAAAGGTTAGATGATCAAGAATGCTGCTGTTATTGGTTCTCTTTTCTTTTCTTTTCTTTTTTCATACATTCTCGGTTTTTTTTTTTCATTCTTCCTTTTGATGGATCCACTACTTTTGAAAATGTGAAAATTGTTTTATTTTACTTATTTTTTCCCCTCCCACTACTGTTTCTTGGAAAGTTTTCAATGTACTTTTTTTCTAAAATTGTTCTTAATGCAATGAATTAAAATTGTTATGTGCGACTCATTTGAATCAGAAATGCTGACATAATTGAACTTATTGATGAAGAGTCTTGTAAGCTTCGTTCTAGTTGATTAAGGTGTGTGGGTGTGTGGATCTCTCAGAACTCTCAGGTATCACTTGTGTGTGTGCACGCATGTTGTTGTTGCCGCCTTATTATTTTGAGGAGCTTTTGTGTGGCGATGCTTTTAGATAATGTTAGGAATACTAAATTTTCTACCAAATAAATGACTAAATATAGCATTTTCCGATGTGGGTGTGTGGATCTCTGAGAACTCTCAAGTATCACTTGTGTGTGTGCACGCATGTTGTTATTGCCACCTTATTATTTTGAGGAGCTTTTGTGTGGCGATGCTTTTAGATAATGTTAGGAATACTAAATTTTCTACCAAATAAATGACTAAATATAGCATTTTCTGATGCTTTTTTAACTAGAGTTGTTCCAAACTGCTGACATGTTTGATGATGTTGGGATGTCAAAATACTTAATTTTTTGCTGAAGGTGCTTAAAATTGATCTTAATGCAATGAATCAAAATTTTGTTTTGTGAGTGACTCGTTTGAATTGGAAAATCTGATAAGTGAACTTATTGATGAATAGTCTTGTGTGCTTCCTTCTAGTTGCTCAGGGAGTGTTCATCTTTGAGAACTCCTGGTATGGTTTTTTTTTTTTTTTTGTTATTTTTGTTGTTGTTGTGGTCCAATTACATTGCATTTCTTGGCGTTTTGAAAATTATATGTGACGAAGGATATATCCTTAGAGTTGGGAGTTAGAGTTGAAAATGTCATAAACTTAGTCGAAAAAAGGGGTTCGGGGGGCACCATTTTGCAAGAACTAAATGTGACGAAGGATACATCCTGTTGACCTAATCGTTTAATGGATTTGTAAAGTTCAACTAAGGTTTAGGCGCAATTGTGTATTTGATAAGTTTAACTATCACCACTACAAAATGTGCAACAACAGTTGAACAATAGACAGCTCATATATATAACATGGCCTCAAGATTTGGCTGATGGGAGGATAATTACTCAGCAACAGAACAGGGAACTTAGGACTAAAGAAGCCAAGTATTGAAGATACGTATCAAAATTAGATAGTACGATGGAAGAATAGGTAAGCATAATCTTATATAGCTCTTGTCCCCATAAGCCTATAAAGAACCCAAGGCATTACTCATTCACAAACAGAAGCATATCTACATTTATAAACCCACTAACTGGAAGCTTCATGGAGGTCACAAAAGCATAAGCATAGTGAGTTTTATGGATACCAGACAAACTCTGATGATGTGTTCTCTTACATTTTTATAACAAATAATTTTTGGATGAAATGGTAAGTACACCCAAAATTTCTGTAATTTCGTAATACCTACACAATTTACTTTCACATTTAAGTACTAAAATTTACTTAGATAGATTTAGAGATTAAAAAGCTAAAACAAGAACTCATGATAGGTCCATGTTTGGATGTCTTGCATTAGTTAATAGATATTACTCTCCTTGTCTTTTAATGTTTGAAATTATTACGATATATATATATGTCGTCCAGAAGTGCCTCTACACGCACCGAACTAATGATTTTTTTTTCCCTTTTTTGCAGATGTTTTTGGACATACAAATGTGGATATGTTTTTGTTGACAAGTACGTGAGGACCTTGTTTTTATATCTCTATCCGTATATATAGTGGTTTGTACAAAATATTTTTTTGGTAGAGTAAATATCAGCTAATTTGGTAGAAATTAACATAGCATGTGGTACAAAATAGTTTTGTGGTAGTATAGAATATAATTTTTGTTGTGGTACAGAAGTTATAGGTGTACAATTAATTTGGTTATTCCAGTATTATGTATGGAATTAAATTCTTGACGTGGAATTAGACATGGTTCTTATGAAATTTGTAATATATATATAAGTGGACGTTCAATATTAATTTTTTGGATGGTTGGAACTGAAAAGTGTGCACGTGTTGAATGCTTGATAACATATTTACCGTTGATAGATTATATTGTTTATACAGGGTACAGGTTGTATTAATAATAGATTTAGTGATAGATTAATTTGTACAGGTTGTTTATAGAAAATTTTATTTAAAAAAAAAAAAACACGTTAAAGTATTTGGCTACCAAATATTTTAGTAACCAAATACGTAATAGTTATTCTCAAATTATTTGGCCACCAAATATTTTGGTCTATAATAGTTATTCTCAAATTATGGTGGCACTTTTAGTGACTAATACATTAGTGGCGGAAACATACCTTTTGCCGACTAAACACAAGCTAGTAGCCAAATGTGTACTTTCGGCGACTAATTATTTTGTAGCTAAAAGTGATACCTTTTGTTGACTAAACACGAGTTAGTAGCCAAATGTAGTCATTCGGCGACTAATACATTAGTAGCGGAACATACCTTTTGCCGACTAAAAACAAGTTAGTAGCCAAATGTAGTCATTCGGCGACTAATACATTAGTGGCAGAAAACATACCTTTTGCCGACTAAACACAAGTTAGTAGCCAAATGTAGTCACTTTCGGCGACCAAAAAAATTTTAGTCGCCAATACTATCGCCGACAGGGTAAAGGCGACAAGCTTAGCGACAAAATATTATGGTCGCTAAATCGTTTCGGCGATTAAATATGTGACTTTTGGCGACCAATATTTTGGTAGCCAAAAGTGACATTTCTTGTAGTGTTCTAAGTTTTGATGTATAATTTTTTTATAAAAATTATATTGATATGATAATTATATCTATATAATTTCATCATCTACATTTTTAAAAGAAAAAACAGGAACGTCTAAGCATATATGTTATCTGTTTGTTCAAAAATAAATATGTTAAAATTATGATGAATCCTGTAAAACTGAACTAGATAGTCTAATGAACTTGAAAGGATCTCAATCCCTCAAGTTGCTGATGTTGTGGCTATTCGACTTCTTGGTTATTAGAATTGGAACGTAGCTAAGTAATTTTACTTTAAATTTTGAGAGAGAGAGCATTGAAATTTGAATTTGTGGAGAAGGATTGAACAACCAGTCCTATTGTGATAAAATAACCTATTAATATATTAACATCTTATCTAATGTGTAAATAAAAAGGAAAAAAAAAAGTTGTTAGTTACTCCCTCCCTTCCAAACTATTGATCCATTTTTTTACATTCGTGCCCGTAAATCAGATCAATAATGTATTTTTGTAAAAAATAATTCAATTATTTTTACAAATTAAAATATCTCAATAGCTTAATTATTCAAAATTAATATAACAAATATCGATAACTTTTTGAGATATTTGAAAAAATGGACTAATAACCCCATTCCTACCAACCCCTTTAGGAGTATATATAAGCATTTTCTTGATTCATTTCCCTCTCATTCCCATAGTTGTTATAACTAACCATGGAAACAAAAACCATGGAAGCAACCTCACATTCTCTTGCCATTGAAAGCCTCTCACACAGTTGGTTATCCAACAGAAAATACTCTCTTGAAGCTCTCAATCTTGAACCCTTAAGACCATCTCTTGATATCTTCAATGAATCCACCTCTGAAGAAACCAAGTACAAAATGACAATAACCCAAAAAACTTTCCTGCAAAATTCCCAGAATTCCAACTTTGATTTTCCCATCTCTAAATCTTTTCCTTCCCTTGTCCATGCTGATGAAATCTTCTCTCATGGACACCTCTTGCCGATGTATAACCAATCAAATCCAGCTCCTTCCAAATCCGCATCTTCAATTTCTTTGAGGACTGTTTGTCCTGACAGAATAATCCATTTTCATCTCCTCAGAAAATGGCAAAAGTCGTCCAAGAGGATCTTGAAGAAGTACTTTGGATTTCTTGGGCCTTTTTCCAGGAAAGTTGGGTTTTTCGGGCTTTTTTCCAGGAAAGTGTGGGAAGTGAGGAGCTGGGAAAATTCACCCCAAGCATCTCCTCTTCCTCCTCCTCCTCCACCACCACCACCACAAGGTTCATCATTTTGTGTGGATATTGACAGGGGAGTATGGAAGGCTAGGAGTTGGAGTAATTCACCACTGTCATCACCGCCGCAAAGTCCTCCTTGTTATAGTGGTGATTGGGGTGTTGATAGCTCCATTTATGAGGCAATTCTTCATTGCAAAAGATCATTTGGTATGTTCATGTTATCTTTGTATGTTCAATCATCTCATAATTAGTAATGAATCTCTTTGTTAGGTGTGTCCTGTGTAATTTAATTTACACACTTGGATTTACTGTAAGGAAAATTTTTTGAGGTATTTTTTTTTTAAATTTTCTGGTAGGATTTCTATGTATTTGAGACTCTGACAGTTTTGTCAGACAACTGAGTTGAGAGTTTCTGAATCTGATTGCAGATAGTGGATTTAATCTCCCCTTCCTTGTGGTGCAAGGATCTTCTGTCCCCAAATAATCTTATTCCTTTATCCCAAATCACTCACAATAATTGGATGTCTTGAGATTTTTACATTTCGAGATTTTTATATGATTCAATAGTTGTGAGTAATTTGGGACAGAGAGATGAGATCATTTGGGAACAGAGGATCCTTACTGTTCTTTGGTGCAAGGATCCTCTGTCCCCAAATAATCTTGTGTATTTTACTGTACTCAGACTTACTATAGAAGGTGGAGGGTTGGAGTCATAATTTTTTGAGATTTTTTTGTTTTGTTTTGGGGGGGGGGGGGGGGGGGTTATGATTTTTAGGTGAGAGTATAAGAATCTTGTTCGGCGGCCAAGTTTAAAGGTTTTTGAGCTTTGTAATTTTTATTGAGGGGGTGTTTGGAAAGAAAAAAAATAGTCAAATTTAGGTTAAAAATCACAAAAAGACAAAATAGGTTAAAATAGTTAATAAGACAAAATATCACATCAAATCCATAATCATTTCACTTTTTCTCTTACAAACATCACATTCAATCACAAAAAAATCCAATTATCTTCCCAAACACAAAAATTTTAGCCTACTTAAAATAGTCAAAAACTAAAATAACCTACTAAAATAGCCACTTCCCAAACGAGGCCCGAGTATAATGAATTTGATCTCTCTCTATTCTATGAATGTAAGTACACTGTTAGACTATGAAAGCTTGTATTCTGCGCGTGTTTGATTTATCTATTTTACATTTTTTTGTTCATTGAAATCATTTGATTATTGCATTACATAATATGCATGAAATTTTTGTTCTAATTACCTTCTGCTTTTTCTTTAATTTTCAGAAAAATGATCAGAGGATTTATTGTACTCAGGACGAAAAGAGAAGGGAAAGGAGGAAGAAATGGATTGAGACTTTATACCTTGTTTCGGCTATTTCTCTCTCCTATTTACTCTTGATTGTAAAATGTAATTTTTTTGTCTTTAAAACTTAAGACAAACTTTTTTTTTTTCTTTCTTTTTTTTAATAGAAGTTGAGCTGCTTAAATTCTGATACCTACTAGGGATGTACGAAGTCTTAGGGTCATTTTAGAAAGTAAGAAAAAAAAAAGTCAATTTATTAACTTATTAATTTATTTGAGTCACATTACCTTTATATTTTATTATATAATTTTTCAAAAAAAAATAACAAGTTAGTTTTTTTCCTACTTTTCAAAGCGAGCGTTACTCTTGCATGAGGAGAAACTGTTTTCGTATTTAAACTCACAACACGCACATCGTAATAAACCCAAATGGAGTTTTATTTTTATCTTTTATTTTTCTTTAATTTTCAGAAAAATGAGACAATTATTTCAAAATAGTACTCGAAAATAAGTACAACCATGTAAATTCTAAAGTCATATTTAAAATAAGCCATCATATTTCTAACAACTAACAACTAATATTTATTGATAAAAAAAAAACATTTAAAATAAATTTAATTTGTACATTTTATTTTTGAATAATTTTTCTAAATACTTAATAGTATTATTGCTAAAAACATAGAATGGAAATGGAAGGGAAGAAATGGACTGAGACTTGTTTGGACTAGTAAATTTTTTGTCTTTATGGTTTGGGGACTAAATATTTTAGTTAAAAAATCAAAAAATTATTATAAATTGTTATATTATTTTCTTTATAAATTTACATATCTTTTCATAAAAAATTAAAAAATTATTAAAATAATCTATTCCCAACTAAGGTGCATCAAATAATAAAATATTTGCATATATTTGTCTTTCGCCTTTGTAAAGAGATCTGTCTCTCTCTCAATCTCTTCTCTCCCCCTTTTCTCTGTTTTAAAATGAAAGGTTGTCCATTTGATATTGATGTTCATCCATTAAGGAAGTTCAAGAGTCCTAATTGCACACTTCTGTTCAAATTTGTCTCATATCATCTTTTTAAAGTTACTTAAATTTTAGTTAATATATTCGGACTGTATTTGATTCATAGATTTAGAAAAAAAAAATTAAAAAGAGAAAGAAAAATGTGTATGAATATAGGTGAAATGTATTTATATTTTACACATATTTTACCTACATTTTCTATTTTTCTTTTCAAATCCATAAACCAAACACAACGTTAGGAGGCCCCTTCACTTATAATTAATTAATTTTAAATTGATATTTTAACATGGTTTTAGAACTAAGTTTTATATAGTGTCAAATACGTCAAGTCAGCAGATGTTTAATCTCTTGTCTCTCATTTCTCTGTCACCTCTACATACTATCCAGGCTACATATGTGACGTCGTCTCTGTAAACCACCTAAACTTTTAATATACTTGAGAAGTCATTCGGCATACCAAAATTTGGGGTTAAAAGGCTATTTTAACGTTAAAAAAAAACAAAATAGACTAAAAATCAATAACACAAAATGTCACATACAATTCATAATCATTTTATTTTTTCTCTCATAAAAGTCAAAAAAATCAAAAAAACCTATCTCAAACTAAGTTTTTAACCCCATGCTATCAAAAAACCAAAAGCCAACCCATATCACAAACGAATCCTAAAAAATGCCTCTACTCATAACTAGTTAGTTGGATATATGTTAACATGATCTAATTATTTTAGTTTGGAGGGTGAGATGCTCTTTCACAAAGAGAAAATGATTAGGTAGGCTCAAATTATCATGTAATATTATTGATGTGATATTCTTGTCAAATGAAAAATTGCAAGACTCATTAGGTCGGTTATTTGTTATTTCTCAATTACTTAATATTGTACCATCTGTAAAATGTTTCCTTACGTTTTTTGATAGTACGACATAACTAATGCTAGACTATTGAATAAATCACTCTTACAGGGTGTGATGCCCGAATTCAAATTTTACTACAACTTGATACTATTTATCTTTTTCCTATACCACTCATATGTATTGATTGCAACCAATTTTTTTTTTTTAAAAGAATATTGAAAATTTCTAAATTCACAACATTCAATCACAAAATTGAACATAATCTTCTAATATAAAATAAGGCACATTAAAAATATGAATTCCACCCTATCTGAGAGAATTATTTGATACTTCCGATGTATTCTGTGAATTATCATTTATATCTTGACTAATAAAGATAAGCCAACATGTTTTTCATATAGATATTTTTACAAAATAATTTATTTAAAACACCACGTAAACTACTAGATAATTACTTTAAATAAATTGTTTTTATTCTATAATTAAATTATGTACAGATAAAATAACTTATTATTATTTAATAGCTACATTTCATGGTAGCATGCATAGGACGTGCAGGGTCCCTTATGTGGTCTAATTTATTTTATTTTTTATTTTTGGTTTTTGTTGTCTTGTGTATGCTGCATTTGTGCTCATTCTTTGAAGCATCCCACCTAGATTTGATTCCGGGGTCCACCTGTGACATTGTAGCATATGCTGGGGTTCTTAAATTCTTTATGGAAACTCTCATCCAAGTGTCTAACAGTCTGAAGTCCTAGGGATTTGACTTGGTGAATAGTGTAAACAATCAAAGGGTTTATTATTTAAGAAGTTGTAGGTTTAAAATTTACGAAAGTTAAATATTTTAAATTTTAGAGGTATTAAAGATTTGTTTGATTGTTAATTTTAAAATTTTGAGTTTAGTCGAGATACGCATAAATTAGATCAGACATCTATTTATCAAAAAATAAAATAAAATAAAAGTGTCTAACAGTTTGATTTCTGTCCTTTCAAAATAAATTTTATTGTAAATTAAGGCCATGTTTGTAGTCTTTAGATTAATTTGTGGTTTGGGTATCCAGCTAAAAAAAATTACATTTTTTAAAGTTTATTTTATTTTATTTTAAAATGTGTTAATTTTTTTTTTTTTTTTTTTTTTTTTTGTTTTTTTTTTTTTTAAAAAATCTATTGTAGAAGAATCTAAAAAGTAAAACAAAATTTATCAAAATAAAAATAAAAAAAGCCAAAAAATATATTAAGAAAAGGGTAAATTATAAATACACCCATTGAGATTTGATTAAAATACGAATCGTCCCATATAATTTTAGAAATTACATTCCACCCTCAGACGTTTCTAATTTCATAACAAATCACCCATTTTATTAATAAATCATCAAGTCAATTAATAGCTTTTAATGATATTAAAAATATGTTTCAATTAATAATTTAGGTAATTTTATTATTGTATAGGAGAGCAAATTATGAATTTTATTTTTTTAGTTAATTCTGTTAAATAAAAAATTCTAGTAAGGGGATATTTGTAATTTTTTAAACCATATGGAGCAATTTATATTTTAAGCAAACTCAAGGGGATGTATTTGTAATTTACCCATTTAAACAATTTTATATCATAAGTTATAAGCATAAACTACTAAAATACTATATCATAGATTTTTCAAAATAAAAAACTATAAGCAATTTGAATAAACTACACTCAACAATCCGTTTAATAGATAAATTAGGAGAAATCTATATTGTTCACCCTCAAAAAAGTGGTAAGAAAATTATGATTTTGTATATGGTAAGAAAATTATGATTTGGTGTGATGAAAGTTATAATAATTTGTGGTAATAAAGTTATGAATAGTGATACTTTATGATCTTTGTGAATAGTAAATTTACAATGTGCACCGTAAAGTTATAAATGATAAAATTATGACAACTTGTGGTGAGAAAAGTTATAACACTTTATAAATTTTGTTATAATATTTTGTAGTAAGAAAAATTATGATTTTTATAATGAAAAAAGTTATGACAGTTCGTAATTTATGTTATAAAATTTTTTGAAAAATTATAAAATACATACCATATACATATTTTTTTAAATGTACATTATCTCTCGAAAAATTATTCTCAATAGACACATTTAGGGGGTATTTGTTTCAGCTTTTTAAAGTTAACTTATGGCTTTTAGCTTTGAAAAAGTTATTTTGGACTGTTTGGTTAAATTTATTTCAAACAGCTTCTGATTCTAACAGCTTATTTTAACTCAAAAAAGCTGATTCTGAGAAGCTGCTCATCCCTTGCTTCTGATTATCAGCTTCTGCTGTGGACATGTTAATTTATGGTTATACTCTTAGATTTTTTATTTTTTTAAAAATAGAAAAAAATCCAAATGGACTATAGATTATTATTATTATTTTTTATGAGAAATGTAGACAAACAAAAAATAAAAATTAATTGAAAAGCTATTTCACAGCTTATTTAACAAACACTACTCAGTAACTTAAATCTATAATCCAACAGCTACACCAAACAGATTAACAACTTCTAATTAAAGTCATAATGTATAATCTGTTAAGGTATAATCTATAAGTTATTTTACCAACTACACCAAACGGGGCCTTAGTGATTGACTTCGTGTTTGCCTATGCGAGTCTCATTATTTGACTTGTCATACCACTGTTTTTTGTATCTATTTTTTGTGATTTTTTCTGTATTAGACTAATAGATATGAATGAAGTATGCCTTTAGTTTCTCCATAAGAAAGTTGCATATACTTCATATCAGTGTCATGAAAAACAAATTCTTCTCACGCAAATAATACCGTGTACATTTAACCTTTCTCAAGTGTAGTGACAAAAATCTATACACTGACTTCTTTGGCTCCATCCATTTTTTCAGTTGTTAGCGACTCACTAATTGCATGAATCTTGCTGTACCCCAAATAACCATTCTAAAATGGCGCACATAAGCTTGTTTTGTAGTCACAGTTATTCATAAGTTGTTTGGGAAGTGATCTTCTTGTTAACATAATTAAAAAGTCAAATCAAGATATCACATTATTTTTTTTTTATATGTTTTCTTTTATTATAAAAAAATCAAAAAATTAATTAAAATAATTAATTCCCTATTGATCTTTATTGTCATTGTTTCATGTTAACTATAGTATATTCTATAGCATATTTTCTGTATAGATATTCTTTATCTGTGTAGTACAATATATTCTTTAGCATAATCTCTATATAGATATGCCTTATGTGTGTAGTACAATATATTTACTGTATATACCTATCTTCTCTCCTATATAAAAGAATTTGTACTATTTATTGATTATTGA